AGCTGTGCACTGCCTGGCTGGTAGACATGTTCATGCAGTGTGAGCGCGTCTACCAGCCAGGCAGTACACAGCTACGTACTGATACTCATGAGAATAATAAAACTTATTTCACTAGAAAATACCGGACATTTATACGTTTGGTATTTTCTCTATTTGTTTCCTGGACAGAAAGCTCAAAACCGGACACCCTGGTGACCGTAGCTGTAGGGGTGAGTGCAGGCGGGGGTGCCCTTTTGGGAGGACGGGCGGGAGGCGAGGGGAGGTGGCAGCTGCCCATAGTAGGTCGCTGCTGCTCTTCTTCCTCTTCCTCTGACTCTCGGGGAGTGAGGGGAAACCTCACAGCCTGCTGCATCCTCTTCTGCCCCGGCCCTCCCCGGCAGCTGGGAGCGAGAGGAAGGCACACGCTGAGCATTTTCCCCTCGCTTCCTGATAGGGGAAGAGGAAGAAGACCCTGTACGTGTGGCTGCAGCCCCTCTGCCCCCCTGAAAAGGTGCCGGGGGGGCAGGGCTTGGGCAGCCCTGGATGGGGGCAGGGCACGCACACCCCCCAAACCCTTTCTCCTGCCTGGCTACCTGCCGCTTAACAAGGCAGCCTGCAGAGCCCCAGCCGGCTGCTTCTTGCCGGCATGCTACACCAGGGCTCACCGGCTTCCGTTCACCTCTGGTCTTGAGAAGAATGGAGGACATAAAGGCACCCTGCTTTGCATGCATACAGGACGGAGGCCAGAGTCGCACGTGCTAGTCAGCCCGATAAATCCCCTTTCTTCCGTGCAGCCAGAATCCAAGTGTCCCCCTGATGCTCCTGTTCTTGCTGGTGCTCCCTTCCCCTGCCCGCTGTCAGAACCAGGCGAGCTGCACGTGCGGAGCAGCTATCCGCCTGCTCCATGTGCCGCCCGCCCCCAGCCCATATGTGTGCGGAACCAGCAAGCTGGCAAAGGAAGGAAACCACACAGGGAGGAACCTGAGAATGAGCCAAGGGAGGAAGGGGAGCAGTGTGAGCTGCTCTCCCTATGGCTGTAGGCCTGTCCCTCCAAAACGCCCCACCAAAGGTCAGTCGGAGCCTCTTGACACCCCTGTTCTCACCACTCCTAGGCAGCCACCTCTGGGGAGGAACACAGCAGCTGTGTCGCATCCACATAGCAGCAAGACACAAAACAAGCATCCAAATCCCCAAAGGGCTATTTTAGCCTGGCAGGGAGACAGAGGGAGCCTAAGGATTTAGAGTCTCAAGGCCTGAGGGCAGAGGCAGCCTGCCTGGCACCCAGCAAAACGAGACCTAACCCCCCAAATCAAAGGTTATTCTACATCCAGACTCAGAGGGCTCTGAGCACGGGGCCTTTTAACCCTCCCCCGACCGTGGCTGGTAGCGGGTGGAACAGCCTTGCTAGATACACCCCCGTGTCAATGGGAAGCTGCTCCCCGGGTTCTGCCTGGCCATCTCTGGGCCACCTAGAACAATAACCAGTCCTGCTTTGAGGGATTCAAGATCCAGCTGCAGGAACCTCTGCCGGGCGCTGGGCACGGAGCTGTGGTTTGCTCAGGGCCTGCTGCTCGCCTGCTCTCCCCTCTCCAGGTCTGAGACCCCAGGGTCCCTCCGGTCCATGTTTCTTTGACCCTTTTACAAGGCAGTGGCCCGGCTTGCTTAGGCATCTCTAGATGACAGACAGTCTGTTACCGCCGCATGCCGAAAGCGCTGCCCGCCCAGCGATAGCTCCTCCCCAGGCTCCCAGAGCTCCTGCTGCAGGACTGGCAGGGGGCATGGAGAGCTGTCGAGAGGCTGTATTTTATCTGCTGCTGGGGGATGGGATGGGGGCAGCTCCAACTGGATGCCAATTGAGCGTGTTACCTAATGCCGGAGAGCAGGCCCTGGTCCTTGACTGCAAAATCAATGGTTGCGGGAGGAGACTGTAGGTTTAATGATTCTAGCAGGGAACTGGCAGCCAGGGTTCCTGGGTTCTATTCCTGGTCCTGCTGGGAAGCCGCTGGTGGGGTCTAAGGGTTACAGCAGGTGACTGGCCTCAGCTCCTGTGTCTCCTGATCTGCAAATAGGACCAGACTTGCCTCTAGGGGGCATTGGAGCAGGGGTGCCTGCAGGGAAACCCCTGGTTCCTTCCAGCTTGTCTGTGTCAGATCCTTAGAGGCTCTGCCAAGGCAGCTCCAGCATTTGTGATCTAGCCTCAGGCCATAGCTCAGTGGGATTAAGCCAGCTAAATCCAGACTGGGGAGGGGCAGGAATTTATCCCACTGGCCACGCCAGAAATCCGACCTGCCTGGACAAAGCCCGGGTGAGGGACTGCTAGGGATCTTCCTGGGGTGCTGTTGCTCATGCCCAGCTGGAGTAGGGGGTGCTGGGGCAGGATATTGGTTTGTCCTCTTTGCTGTGGTTGTTGGCTTGTTTTAACTGTGTGTGGGGGAGGGTCCAAGATGGGGGGAGGGGGGATCCAGGTCCTCTGGCTTCTCGGCAGCTGCATGAGTGACATGGGGCCGACGCTGGAGTAAGGGAGGGTATTACCCGCCACGCACTTGGATCGCTCTGGCCAGGAGATGCCAGTGCAAAGAGCCCAAGGCCCAGGGGGCCGGTAGAGCTACACACTGATTGTCCGGCAACTGCTTTCAGTTGAATTTAAACAATCACGCCCCACGAAGTCTCTGCCTGACGAGGACCTAAATCATAGGGGAGAAGGGTCAAAAACCAACATATCTGGGGAAGGCTTTTCCTGATTGTTTTTTTCCTCTGTACAAACCCTAGGCACAAGGACCCAGAGAGGCTCAGTACAAGGGTGTGATTCCCAGCATGCCCTAGGGCTGGCGGAAGGGCCGTGTACCGTATGCTGCCAACTCCACCACTAGGTGGCGCCCTCAGCAGCCATGTCCTGGCTCGTTTCGAAATACAGCGTCTCGGATGCCAAATGTCTCTGAAACAACAAATGCGTCTTGTCTCCCTGCCACCCACTTGCCCTTCTCAGGCCCCTAGCCCCAGCTCAGCTGTCTCCTCTGGCCGACCATCGGGCTCCACATGAGATCAAGTCTCTGGTGGCCTTTTTCCGCCCCCATTTTGTGGCTCCCAGTACTTTCTGGCTCGGGTGGCAAGAGCAATACACGTGAGCCGGTGAATCTGAAACAACAAATGCGTCTTGTCTCCCTGCCACCCACTTGCCCTTCTCAGGCCCCTAGCCCCAGCTCAGCTGTCTCCTCTGGCCGACCATCGGGCTCCACATGAGATCAAGTCTCTGGTGGCCTTTTTCCGCCCCCATTTTGTGGCTCCCAGTACTTTCTGGCTCGGGTGGCAAGAGCAATACACGTGAGCCGGTGAAGCTGCTGTCCCGGAGGCAAAGAAGCCGCCACTGGCGGGGCCTGACCAGGGATAGAGTCCAAGAAGTGCATAAAGTGCAAGTTCTGGGCATCAGCCCTGGGTGGTGGGTGGAGGTAAAGGTTAACAGGCTGGGGCTGGGCAGGGCTTGGGGGGAGGAGGGGGCTGGAGAAGAGACTGGGGTGCTGGGCAAGAGCCTGGAGGGGTAACAGGCAAGGATGGGCAGGGCCTTGGGGAGGAGGGGTCAGGTAACAGACTGGGGAGCTGGGGTTGAGCAGGGCCCCAGCAGGGGGCGGTAATAGGCTGCGATGGGCAGGGCTACGGGAAGGGGGCGGGGGTCAAGTAACAGGCTAGGCTAATGGCCTGGGGGAAGGGGTTCAGGAAACAGACAAGGGCACAGCTTCTGGGCCTGGGGGATCTGGGGCTGGCGTTCTCCGGTGGGTTTAGCTGATCGCTCACATGCAGTTTGCGGCTAGCTCCCTGTGTCTCTTTACCCTCTGGAGCTGCCAGGCTGGGAACGCCCCCCCGCCCTACGACGTCTTCCCTTTGCTCTTCTTTGTGTTCGTCTCCTTCTGCTTCTCCTCCACCGCTTTCTTCTTCTCCTCCTTCAGCTCCTTGTACTTCCACTTGGGTGGCTCCAGCAGGTTCTTGTTCTTCCTCGACCGCCGCAGCTTCTCCTTCCTGCAGGCCGGCGGGGAGGAGGCCTTGACCAGCTTGATTTTGGGGACCTGCCCCCCGGGGAAGACGCTGTTCCTGCGCAGCAGCCGCAGGGGGAAGAAGCTCAGAAGGCCGGTGGTGCTCTGGTACGGCACCAGGACGCGGGACTCCGATGCAGCCTGGCTGTTGCAGGAGGACGAGCCGGGCTCGGACTTGGTCTCAGGATCTGGCCTGTACTCCTTGAGGATCTCCGGCACTGATAGCCTCTGCTTGCCCACCTCCGGCGGGCTCCCGGGGCAGATGGTTTGGCAGGCAGTGGTCACAAAGGGGCTGGCCAGGCACGTGGTCATCCGCACCATGTGGTCCATCACCCCGTCGGCCTCGGGATCGTGTGGGAAATTGAGGCTGAAGGCAGAGCAAATCTTTTCCATCAGCCTCTCGCATCTGGATTTACTGGCCAGCGCCTTGGCCACCAGCTCGGGCAGTGCCGGCCACTCGGGCCGGTACCGGTCACTGAACTGCTCAGCTCGGGGGCGCTGCAGGATGCTCCGGATCTGCACGATGGTCTCAAAGCGCCCGGTCAGACCTGCCCACTCCCGGGCTGTCTTCTGCCGGACAGGATCCACCGCCGCCAGGTCAGCTCCTGAGACCACAGGAGGGAGAGAAAGGGCCTGTGATAAAACCTGAGCCGCTTGGACGTGTGGCTGCGAGAGCCTGGGTCAGAGCCCAGGAGTCTCCTTGTTCCAAGCCGCCTCATCGCAGGCCTTACGGATGGGAAGAGGCTTCTGGGGCTAAAGTGAAGCTGTGAAAAAACCCTCCCATTGCTGACCGGAGGCCATGTGAACTAGTGCACAGTGCTCCGAGCAGAGACTCAGGAGGCCTGGGCTCCGCTGTCAGCTCGGTCACTGGCCTGCTAAGTGACCACGGGCCACCTCCCTGCCTCGGTTTCCCCATCTGTAAAACGAGGTTAACGAGCTTGCCCGGGTTGTAAAGCACGTTGAGATCTGCGGCTGGAGTGTGGGATGGGCACTAGATGGCAGCAAAGAACGTGGAGCTCCCACACACTTGTGCTCCCTGCTTAGAAAGAGCCCCCCGGGGAGAGGCCATGGGCCTGTCTACGCAGCCGTGGAAGGTGCGATGGCAGCCAGTGTGGACGTGCTCACGTTAGCTGTAAGCGATCTGGCACAGAATCAGGCCCGTACGCAGGGTGTGTGTGAAGGGTGTGAATTCACCCCCCATCGTCCGCTAAGTAAGCATGCTCCGGCCAGCTAGGGGAAAGCAGGAGCGGCGCGTTGCCTGAGTCTCCCTCCCCCGTGCTCTGGCCGGCCGGGGGAAGGCTGGGGCTGATTTCCCTGCTTACTTTGGGGGACCTTGGGGGTACATTCACACCCTTGTAGTCCACATTTACAAAAAAGTCCCCCCCCCCAAAAAAAAACCTGTGTACGGGCCTGAGAATCATCCTGAAGCTCAGCGCCATGGTCCAGGCTCCCCTGCTATTGCTACCCAAGTGACGTGAATTAATTTTGCTCATTTGGGTACATCTCGGCCATCAGTGTAGACCTCCTCCCTCGGGCTGTGGACTCCACCCCATGCCGCGGGTTTCAGAGCCTGGCCTTGAGCCGGAGCCCAAACAACTACACGGCCATTTCAGCTCTGCCGCGTGTGCCCGAGTCAGCTGATCCAGGCTCTGCGGGTTGCCGCCTCAGGGCTTTTTTTACAGTGTAGACGTAACCTACCGGGCTAGCTGAGGCCCACCCTGTACGCCTCCTTTCGGAATAACCTTGATTGGCTGCATCCAGGTCACATTCGGCGTCTTGTCTCCCTCGGATTTTACGTGGCGGGGGTGATCTACGTGAAAGCACCTTCTGGCCACGAAGACGTAGCCGACGGAAAACGTGGCTTTGACCCACGTGAAAATCGTAGGGCAGACGAGGCTGCTGTCAGTTTTAAAGTGAGTTCCCCAGTAACCCTACGAGGGGCGGGGCTAAGTTAAAGTGTGAACGTTACAATTACGTTACTGGGATTCTCAAACGAGTCAAAAATCTTTTTCCCTAAGCGAGGGCCTGGTCCAGCAATTCCCTGAAACTATGTCTATACTGCTTCCTTCTTGCGCAAAATCCTATGCAAATGAAGCACGGATTAGCATATTGCCACACTTCATTTTCATAATTAATTAGGGGCCGTTTTTGCACAAGAGGAAGAACGGCTCTTGCACAAGAGGGGGTTTTTGCGTAAAAAGGAGCCGTCTACACAGCTCCATTTTTCACAAAAACCTCTTGCGCAAAAACAGCCCCTAATTAATTATGCAAAACGAAGCACGACAATAAAGCTAATCCATTCTTTATTTGCATAAGCTTTTGAGCAAGAAGGAAGCAGTATAGACGTAGCCTGAGAAAACAACGCACCTGCCATGAGCAGTGCAGTGACGCACTCCTTCCGCCCCTGCACTGCCGCCTTCATCAGCGCCGTCAGGCCCCGCACATCCCTCTTCTCGATCTCCAGCAGGGGGTAGTAGTTCAGGAGATAGTTAACGATCGTGATGTGTCCTGGACAGTCAGAGAGAGAGAAGCCGCGTTAGAGTTTCAGAACATCGCCAGAAGTGACTATGGCGCGCCCACTCAGGAAAGGCTGCATACATTAGCGGGGTGCCTGGGCCGTGTGTTTCTGGAGGCACCAGTGCGGGGCATGCACCAGAGTGATTGTGGGTGGAGTTCACTTTTTAAAAAACTAGGAAACACGTAGTTAATGCATCAGGCCCTGTGCGGGTAAACCAGGAGAGAGTCCAAGCATATCCCTTCTCGCACTGTTGGAAAAGCTGCCCGTTTAGTAGCAAGGGCTGTGTCTATACCAGCGGTGCGCAACCCATGGGTGTCTTCTGGGAGGGTCACAGCGCCAGGCCGGCTGCCATTTTCTTTCCTGGCACATGGTGGGGGCAGGAGGAGTGGCAGGTGAGCGAAGTGGCATTTAAAGGGGCCACACAAAATTTTCCCGGGGGTTACGCCACGAAAAAGGTTGTGCACCACTGGTCTAGACTGCAGGCTTCTTATGGAAGAAGCTTTTCCAAAAGAGATCTTCCGAAAGAAAGAGGTTTACCATTGTCAGAAAACCCCCTCACTTCTTTTGATTTTTTTTCCAAATTTGTGGACATAAGTGAAGTTTTTTCAGAAAAAACGCTGTTTTTCCAAAAAAACCTCTGTAGTGTGGACGTACCCGAGGTGGGAATGTGACATCCTGAGGCCTCGATGTAAGAAGGCCCACACCATACAAAAAGGAATGTATTATTTTCACAGAAAGGAAACTCTAGGAGTCTCTAGGAGACTCTATAAACATGAATGCTTGATATTCTCCCAGGAAAACAAAGGAGGTCCTATAATTTTTTTACATCATGAATAAGGAAAATGATCCTTTCTCTATGAATAAATGAAAAAAAAGTGTGATTAATTTTCTTAGGGAAATACAGAGTTTATCCAGACTATATAACAAAATATATTGACAAATGTTTATTCTGGTTTAAATTTCACTATGAAAGAACAAATTGTTTCTATTTTTCTTTTGTCAACAAGAAATACTTCCTGAAACTGATGGGGAAGTCAACACAAATGTATCCTCCTCAAGATGTATGTGAGCCAAATCCGTAAGGGTATGGATTTAGTGGCCTGCAGCCATGGATAACGCATGAAGCAGAAAGTGGCGTGTGCCCTAAAATATACCACGGTATGTATGTACGGATCGAAAGGAGAATGACCACACTAACACTTAAGAAAAGCAGGAGTGAAGGCGCTATACGACTGAGCATATTAGACCGTACACAGAAGATGGCAGCCTCCCAGCTATTACCAGCATTGGTGGGACCCTATACAGGACATCCCCTATACACGGTGATGCCAGCCGTGGTTTCTGGGGGTTTCTGCAAGCTGTGGTTTCTCCTCTGCTGCAGAGAGGGAGAGTGAAAGGGGTGTTGCATTTTCTATGTCCAGTCACTGCTGTTGAGCTATTTCTGCTTATTTGTCCCAAGCAACTAGTCTGAGGGCCTGGTCTGTCTCTTAGGTAAGAACATAAGGGTGAGAACGAGCAACAAGTTTGAAATGGGACATTATTGGTCATGTTCCCATCATTGGGTAGCTAAGATATACTTGTGGAACTCCCTGCTGCAGGATAACTGGACATTGCCTCTTTGGCTGGCTCTTAATTTCAGTGACTGCTTCATGCTCCTGTATCCTGGGAAGCTCCTGGGTGAAGCTCCAGCATTGGCACACGGCAGCTCCTACCTGCTTGAGCAGCAATCATGAGTGCCGTGTTCCCATCGTTATCCTGGTGGTTGATGTCTAGGTATGGGCATTTGCTCAGCAGGGTCACAATGTCCACGAAGCCCTTGAAGCAGGCCACCATGAGCCCATTCTGGGGAGGAACATTCAGAGCCAGTGTGTCAGTGAACGCCAGCATCTTCCCCACCCTGCCCCTGCACCCCACCCCCATGGCATTTGCCACTGTACCCCGCAGGGTCTCACCTGTCCTCTCCCGTGCTGCCAAAGTGCATGATGGGAAAACAGTTTGCAACACTTGGGAAGTTACTGTGCTAGGGTTCCAGGTTAAGGGTCTGTCCAGTCTGTCTGCTTCCAGGCTGCGCTGGACTGGTGTGTCTAGCGCCCAGGGCTGGGAACCCTTCCTGCCCCTCCCATGAGGCACCTGGTCAGGACATGGGGTTGGGAAGCGGTGTGGCGTATGGGCTAGGGATGTTACATTAGATTAACTGGCTAATTGAATAGTCGATGCAATTTGCATCGACTATTCGATTAGTTGATAAGGGGGCCTCCACCTTTGAAGTGTAGCAACAGCCCCTGGGTGCTGCGGGGAGCATGGGGCCAGCGGGGGACACAGCAGTGCTCTGCTGTCCCCGTGCTCCCCGTGGTGTTTCAAAGTGGCAGCACCGCATGGAGCCCAGGGTCAGCTGGAGACTCTGAATACCTAGCTGACCCCGGGCTCTATGCGGCGCTGCCACTTTGAAACGCCGCAGGGAGCTCGGTGTCAGGCTCTATGTGGCGTTTCAAAGCGGCAGCGCCGCATGCAGCCTGGGGTCAGTGGGAGAGTCCCCAGCTGGTCCTGGGCTCCACGCGGCACTGCCTCTTTGAAGCTCGCTCCCTCTTCTCCCCCCCGCCCCGGTGTGTCTTTCTGATAGAGGCAGCAAGGGCAGGGGAAGCAGCTAGGCGACTAGTCGTTCACATCCCTAGTATGGGCTGGGGACCAGAGATTCAAGGAGCCACAAAGTCTGTCCAGCAGCTAGGATTCCTCACTGTTAGCCATCCCGGTCTCGCCCCTGGGGAGAGGCCCCCGGCCTCCCCCAGCACGGGAATCCTTACCCTTCCGTTGATATCCAATTCCATGACCTGCTCCGGGCTCACCCCGCATGCCAGCACCTCCTGCAGCAGCTTGGCCTTGTTCCTGGCACAGCTCTGGTAGAAGGTGAGCTCCTGCCCACCATCCGTGGCCGGGGCGGGCTCGTAGCAGGGGTAGACAGAGTCATCGGAGAGGATGCTGCTGGTGTCAGAGAGCTCCGCCTCCTCCTCTTCCTCCTCCTCGTAGTGCAGGTCTGGGTCCGAAGCATCCGGGCTGGACTTCCAGGTCTGCAGCACGCTCTCCTCCACTGCTGTCATCTGTCAAGCGGCCCATTCAGAGGCAGCAGGGCCTGGCGTGGCACCACGTGCCCACCCTGGTCCAGGAGCCTTCTTCCTGCCTGAGAAGGGGCGCCCGGCCCGTTAGGTGCTCGTCACCCGGGGCGATGACTCTGCAACGCAAGGCCAGGTCAGTGAGGCCGGGTCAGGCCCAAGTCCACCTGCCCCATCCAGGGACCGGTTGCTCTGCCGTGAGGCTGGGAGGAGTCCTTGCTTCTCTGGGCTGTTGGCAGAGGCAGCTGGGACTCCGGGCACAAGTAGCTGATGTGGGCACATGGCTCCTTTCGCCCTTGAGACCAAACTGTGACTGGCCCCCTGCCCCTCATCCCCAAGTGGCTCACTGCGCCCTGGTCTACACGAGGGAGTGATTTCGAAATAACAAGCGGCGCGTCCACGCTACCAAGCCGGTTATTCTGAAATAGCGGCTCCTGCTTGTCGTGAGGAATCACGCTTATTTCCAAACTGGTATTCCGGGAGTTATTATTTCACAAGAAGTTAGTTTGAAATAATTTCCTAGCGTAGACAGGCCCTGAGGCCGGGCTCCAGGTGTAGAGCTGGCTGTAAAGTCATCACCTGAGGGCAGCTTGAGGGGTGCCAAGCAGCGCCCCACGCCCCAGCTTCTGGGCCATGTGAACCAAGCATCGAGTCTCCCGTGCCACAGGGGGCCAGAGGGACCCAGCCAGGGCAGGAGGGGAACCTGTGTGCCTCTCCCAAACTGCCCCTTCCATTAGCCTCTTAACCATAATTCCTCCGCTGCCCGGGGCAGAGGGAGAAGGAAGTGCAGCTTGTCCACCCAAGTCCCTGCAGGGCTGGGCCACCACCCCGCTGGTTTTGCTGCACCCCAAAGTCCTCATCCATCCTGTGTCCTGGCAGCGGCAGAGCCCCTGTGCTGCCCCATGTGCACGGGCAGGGGGGGAGAGGGAGGGCGGGTGCCCCCCTCCTGGCTGTTCCCCTTGCCCCTACCCCATCCCCACAGAGGGAACATGGCAGCCACAAAGCCCATT